AACCCGTACCCGACCCGAGTACGAGTCCGAGATGTGACATTACCTTTTTAAAATAATTTTCCTTATAAAATAACAAAATATTTGAACTTATTTTAGGAAAATAAGATAATATATTATTAAATTATATTCAGTATAAAATTTTGAGGTAAAAAAAATGTATTTGCGAACAATAAAATACGTATAAACAATAATCTGCTACAATACCGTAAACAGTAACCTGCTACAATACCCGAAATGTTAAATTTTCCAGTTTACAAATAGGGAATCGATTCCCCTGCTACAGGGAACCGATTCCCCTGCTACAATACTGCTACAGTACTTCCGTAAAAATATACATAAAATTCGTAAAAATTCAACCGTTCATTACTATACACTTACATAATTACATTCAAAACATTAGAAAAGTCGATCAGAGTGTTCGTAACTAACAACTTATTACATGCCAACATACTTTATACAACTAAAATACATACTTTGTTGTTTACTTCTGATTTGATCCCCTAATGATGGTATGCTGCGTTGCTGCTCTTAAGATCGATCTTCTTACTTTTCTGTACCTACGTGTAAATCACTTACACGCTAAGTCATAGACTTAGTGAGGCATATAAATATAATGATGATGTATTCCTTATAAATATGAACATGTGATCTATCCATTCAATGATATAACATATAACAATAATAATGCAATTACCTTTGATAACATTCTATAAGCCCATGTACATTACTGAGAACTCAAGGTATTCGAATACATTGAGGTTATGCACTATTGCTATCACCACAACTCGTATAAGTCCCACTGAGTGACATATGAAATTTGTCCCGAATGACCTGTGAATATGTCCCGAAGGACCTATGAGTTGTCCCGAAGGACCTATGAAACCCTCGACTCTTGGCATGCCGACTATACCTATAGCTCTCATATCGTATACTATGGGCATCATTCTTATATTTCATATGTTCATGTGCTCATGTCACTTATCATATCACATATACATTTGAATTTATTCACATATATCATTTATCAAATCATATGAGCATCTATACCTTATGCATGTATCATAATAATTATCATGTATGCATGTTCATAATTATTGTTCTATAAAAATCAACATATGATTAGACTTATCACAAGTCTTATTCCATTGTACTACCCTTTAAATAGGCACTCACCTTGGCCTCGCTTTCGTTATTTCAATCCTAACTCTTCGATTGTTCCGGAATAGAATTACGTTTTATATCTACATAAACATAATTTTCAAGATATTTATCAGAAGTCTAACCCTTGTAATTTGATACTAACAACTTAAACTAATTTAATAAACCAAACTTCAACATTTTCTTTTAGGGGGAATCGATTCCCCCCAGGGGGTATCGGTTCCCTCTGCATAATCTGAAATTTTATTGTTCAAACCCGAAAATCACCAATTTTTCACTAAATTTTCCCATACAAAGTTCCTTTCATACTATCAAACTTAACTACAACCATTTTAACTTACTTCTATCAAATCCACACTTTATTATTTCCAAAACTTCATTCAAATTCTTAAAACCAAGAATAATACCCAAATTTCAAACATGTTATTAATCAATTCTAACACTCCATATTCCTTAATTAACTTATTGACAAGTCAAAAATCTTATTCAAACTTCAAAAACTCATCCATATCAAAATTTCATCTAAAAACCCATTTTTCAAATCTATCTCTAAAACATTTATCTTGTTGTTTTAGAACAAATTAAGCTTTCCTTAAGCTTAATTAACACCCAAAGAATCAAAACCCTCTTTAAAATTCCAGAAATTAACCATAAAAATCAAACTTACCTTTGTAGCCAAAGCCAACGTGAAGAAGAGGAAAACAAGGAGAAGAAGAGAAAATGAACTCTTGAACAAATTTTGCCTTCCTATCCTCTTCCACGTGGGTTAATATAAACCCATCCAAAATTTTAATTATTTTTCCTTATAAATGACCATTTTGTCCTTTAATTCATTTCATATTTACTAACAATTATTTTTAAACTATTTAATTATTCTACTTTAATCACCAAATTCTGATTTTTTATAATTTAGTCACTAACCCGTTATTTGGGATATTACAATTCTCTCCCCCTTAAGAAAATTCGTCCTCAAATTTTCATTGCACGAATAAATGGGGGTATTGATGTCGCATATCTTCTTCACGTTCCCACGTTGCTTCTTTTACTTTATGATTTCTTCATAGCACTTTGACCAAAGGAATAGTCTTATTCCTTAGTTGTTTCACTTCGTGAGCTAATATTTGAACAGGTTCTTCCTCATAAGTCAAGTCAGGTTGAACATCAATCTCTTCTGGTGTCATGATATGAGAGGGATCAGATCTATATCTTCGAAGCATTGAAACGTGAAAGTCATCATGTATCTTTTCCATCTCAGGTGGTAAAGCTAGCTGATAGGCTACAGGTCCTACTCTCTTTACAATCTCATATGGTCCAATAAATCGAGGACTCAATTTTCCTTTTCGACCAAATCTCAACACCTTCTTCCATGGAGACACTTTTAAAAACACTTTATCTCCAACTTGAAACTCAATTTCTTTCCTTTTTAGATCTGCATATGATTTCTGTCTGTCTGCTGCAGCTTTGAGATTACTCTGAATTATTTGGACCTTTTCTTCTACTTCCTGAATCAACTCAGGACCAAGCACTTCTTTATCTTTGAGCTCGTACCAGTTCAAAGGCGTACGACACTTTCTTCCGTAAAGAGCTTCGTAGGGAACCATTTTAATACTCGACTGATAGCTGTTGTTGTAAGCGAATTCAGCAAGTGGCAAATATTTTTCCCATGATCCTTTGAATTCAATTACACAAGCTCTTAACATGTCCTCTAAAATTTGAATAGTCCGTTCGGATTGTCCATCGGTCTGAGGATGAAATGATATGCTGAAATTTAATCGAGTTCCTAATGCTCCATGCAATGACTACTAAAATCTTGAAGTAAATCGAGGATCTCGATCAGAAACTATAGAAACAGGTACACCATGCAACCATATAATCTCTTGGATGTACAACTCAGCATACTTATCCATGGAGAAATTAGTCCGTACCGAAATAAAATGGGCTGACTTAGTCAACCTATCTACAATCACCCAAATTGAATCTCTTTTGTTTGGAGTTACAGGTAATCCCGTTACAAAATCCATCGTTATGTTATCCCATTTCCACTGAGGAATCGTCATTAGTTGCAATAATCCTGACGGAACCTGATGCTCAGCTTTGACTTGTTGACAAGTCAAACATTTGGACACAAATTCTGTAATGTCTTTCTTCATTCCTGGCCACCAATATCGACTCTTGAGGTCCATATATATTTTGTTTCCTCCTGGGTGCATCGTTAATGGACTACAGTGAGCTTCCGTTAATACATCATTCTTTAACTCATCATTATTTGGAATTACTATCCTCCCTTGATAATATAGGTTCCCATCAGCTTTCATCTCATAATCTGTACACTCTCCATTCCTTATTTGTTGTAGCTTCTTTGAACACTTTTCATCCCTAGCTTGCAATTCTTTAATTCTATCTAGCCATGATGGCTTGAGAGTCAATTCAGCACAAATAACACTATCTTCACTTAATGATAATCTAGCATCCATAGCTCGTAGAACTGCAAATGTATTTCGACTTAAGGCATCCACTACCACATTTACTTTTCCCGGATGGAAATCGATCACAACATCATAATCCTTGAGAAATTCCACCCATCTTCTCTGTCTTAAATTCAACTCTTTCTGAGTCATCAAGTACTTTAAACTCTTGTGATCTGTATATAAATAACATCTTTCACCATACAAGTAGTGACGCCAAATCTTAAGAGCAAATACTACTGCAGCCATCTCCAAATCATGCGTTGGATAGTTTTTCTCATGTGACTTCAATTGTCTTGACGCATATGCCACCACTTTGCCTTCTTGCATCAACACACATCCCAAGCTATTATGGGACGCATCACTATAAACCACAAAATTCTTTTCAGACTCAGGTTAAACCAACACATGAGCTTCTGTCAAAATCTTCTTTAAATTTTCAAAACTTTCCTAACATTCTGGAGTCCAAGCAAATTTTACCTCTTTCCTCAATAACTTGGTTAGGGGTAATGCTATTATCGAAAAGTTTTTAACGAATCTTCGGTAATAACCAGCTAACCCCAGAAAACTCTGAACTTCTGACACATTCTTTGGAACTTCCCATTCTAAAATAGCTTTAATCTTTTGGGGATCCACTCGAATTCCTTCTGCATAAATCACATGTCCAAGGAAAGTCACTTCCTTCAACCAGAATTCACATTTGGAGAGTTTGGCATAAAGCTTCTTTTCTCTCAAAATATGTAACACCTTCTTCAAGTGTGAACTATGTTCTTCTTTGGACTTTGAATACACGAGAATATCGTCAATAAATACCACCACAAATTGATCCAAATAGGGTTGGAATATTCTGTTCATGAGATCCATGAAAGCAGCTGGTGCATTAGTAACTCCAAACGGCATCACAATAAACTCATAGTGACCATATCTCGTTCTAAATGCCGTATTTGGGATGTCTTTGTCTTGAATCTTTAATTGATGATAACCAGAACGTAAATCAATTTTCGAGAACACTGAAGCTCCTTTTAATTAATCAAACAGATCGTTAATTCGGGGAAGTGGATATTTGTTCTTGATGGTCACCTTATTAAGCTGTCTATAATCAATGCAAAGACGCATTGATCCATCCTTCTTTTTGACGAACAACACCGGAGCTCCCCACGGTGAGACACTTGGTCTTATAAATCCTTTATCTAACAACTCTTTTAACTGTATCTTTAACTCTTGCAATTCTTTTGGAGCCATTCTGTATGGAGCCATAGTAATAGGCGCAGTTCCAGGCATTATTTCAATCTGGAATTCTACCTCTCTGTTTGGAGGCAAACCTGGTAATTCTGCAGGAAATATATCGGGAAACTCTGTGACTATAGGAATTTCTTCAATTCTTTTCTCCTTGGTTCTAATATCCAACACATTAGCAATGAACCCTTGACATCCCTGTAGCAGTAACTTCTTTGTCATTATCGCGGAGATTACATTTGCCAATGGATTCCACCCTTCACTAAACACCACGACTTCTACCCCTTCTGGACTTTTCAACGTTACTCTTTTCAATCTACAATCCACATTCCCATAATAACGAAACAACCAATCCATTCCCAGTATCACTTCAAATTCATCGAAGGGTAATTCCATCAAATTAGCAGGGAATTCAATTTCCTGAATCCGTATGGGACATCCTCGATATACCAAATTCACACTAGCACTATGCCCTAATGGATTTGTCACTATTACTTCATTATTAGTGGCTTCTAGCGGAATGTTCAGTTCTCTAACTAACTTTCTATTAATGTATGAGTATGTAGACCCCGGATCAATCAATACCATAACATGTTTATCAAACAGTAAAAAGGTACCTGTTATTATCTCTGGATCATCCCGGTCTTCATTGGTTTTGAGATTATACACCCGAGCATTAGAGAGAACTTCCTGCTGAGTAGAGGATTCATGTTGAGTTCTACCTCTTCCTCTACCCCGTCCCCTTTGGGACATTGAAGCAGACCTCTCATGTGGAACAGACTCTTCTACCCTCAAAGGACAGTCTCTCATAAAATGTCATGTTTCCCTACATCGAAAATAAGCTCCTGTTTTAACTCTGCATATTCCACTATGGTTTCTTCCACATATCTGACACTGCCCAACTTGACTCTGTTGTGCTCGCCTATCACCAGTCCCCACAGATTGAGTTCGTCTAGCTCTTTCCTGATTCGATCCTCTAGCAGAGGATGCCACTGATTCAGAGCTTGTTTGATATCGAAAACCAAAATCTCTACCTCTCTTTGGTAGTGTAGAGCTTGATGAAGCTCCAGTTCTTTTGGATGGTAGAGCTCTCTGCTCCCCAAACCGTTCATTCTGCGCTCTCTCTAGAGCTTTAGCATGATTTACTACTTCTTGGAATGAGGACAGATTCAATACAATCAACATTTCTTTTAGCCTTGGACGCAAGCCCTCAACAAACCACTCACATGAATCTTTCTCTGTAGGCACCAACTCTGCCGCAAAGCGACTTAACTTATTAAATTCGCACTCATACTCATATATAGTGCGATTCATTTGTTTCAAATTTAAAAATTCTTGCTTCATTTGCTTGATGAATTGGTCTCCTATATACTTATGCCGAAACTCTTCCAGGAACAGAGACCATGTCACTTGATCACTGGTCATCCTCAAAGTGACATTTATCCACCAAATTCTCGCTTGCCCACGAAGCAAAGAGACCACCCCGTCCAACTTCTCCACATCAGAACAGTGGAGTCCTTCTAACATAATTTTCACATCATTAAGCCAAAGGTCCGCAGCAACAGGACCTTCCTCGGCTTCACCTTTAAACTCTGGAGCTCCTAAACCCTTCATCTCCTTTGCAACATTCATTTTTGGAGTTGAAGTAACAGGAGGTTGGAAACGCGTCAATACTGCATCTAACGTTCTAAAGAACATATCTTGATCAGCTACAGGCACTCTAGAAGGTGTCTGTTCTTCACCTTGCCTGGCCAGGGCAGGTGAATTACTACTTTCAGCGGGTTGATCATCTCCCACTTGACTTCGAGAACTATCATGTCCGGACATCTATTAAAAATAAACATATCATTCTATTAGCAAAACAACATACTCATTACCATACCAGATCAGAAGTTTTAACTATTTTGTTGGCATGTATACATTATAAAATACTATAGACTCCGATTTATGCCAAGAATCGACTAAACCTTGCTCTGATGCCATTAAATGTAACACCCCTAACCCGCACCTGACCCGAGTCCGAGTCCGAGATGTGACATTACCTTTTTAAAATAATTTTCCTTATAAAATAACAAAATATTTGAACTTATTTTAGGAAAATAAGATAATATATTATTAAATTATATTCAGTATAAAATTTTGAGGTAAAAAAAATGTATTTGCGAACAATAAAATACGTATAAACAATAATCTGCTACAGTACCGTGAACAGTAACCTGCTACAGTACCCGAAATGTTAAATTTTCCAGTTTACAAATAGGGAATCGATTCCCCTGCTACAGGGAACCGATTCCCCTGCTATAGTACTGCTACAGTACTTCCGTAAAAATATACATAAAATTCGTAAAAATTCAACCATTCATTACTATACACTTACATAATTACATTCAAAACATTAGAAAAGTCGATCAGAGTGTTCGTAACTAACAACTTATTACATGCCAACATACTTTATACAACTAAAATACATACTTTGTTGTTTACTTCTGATTTGATCCCCTAATGATGGTATGCTGCGTTGCTGCTCTTAAGATCGATCTTCTTACTTTTCTGTACCTACGTGTAAATCACTTACACGCTAAGTCATAGACTTAGTGAGGCATATAAATATAATGATGATGTATTCCTTATAAATATGAACATGTGATCTATCCATTCAATGATATAACATATAACAATAATAATGCAATTACCTTTGATAACATTCTATAAGCCCATGTACATTACTGAGAACTCAAAGTATTCGAGTACATTGAGGTTGTGCACTATTGCTGTCACCACAACTTGTATAAGTCCCACTGAGTGGCATATGAAATTTGTCCCGAAGGACCTGTGAATATGTCCCGAAGGACCTATGAGTTGTCCCGAAGGACCTATGAAACCCTCGACTCTTGGCATGCCAACTATATCTATAGCTCTCATATCGTATACTATGGGCATCATTCTTATATTTCATATGTTCATGTACTCATGTCACTTATCATATCACATATACATTTGAATTTATTCACATATATCATTTATCAAATCATATGAGCATATATACCTTATGCATGTATCATAATAATTATCATGTATGCATGTTCATAACTATTTTTCTATAAAAATCAACATAGGATTAGACTTATCACAAGTCTTATTCCATTGTACTACCCTTAAAATAGGCACTCACCTTGGCCTCGCTTTCGTTGTTTCAATCCTAACTCTTCGATTGTTCCGGAATAGAATTACGTTTTATATCTACATAAACATAATTTTCAAGATATTTATCAGAAGTCTAACCCTTGTAATTTGATACTAACAACTTAAACTAATTTAATAAACCAAACTTTAACATTTTCTTTTAGGGGGAATCGATTCCCCCTAGGGGGTATCGGTTCCCTCTGTATAATCTGAAATTTTACTGTTCAAACCCGAAAATCACCAATTCTTCACTAAATTTTCCCATACAAAGTTCCTTTCATACTATCGAACTTAACTACAACCATTTTAACTTACTTCTATCAAATCCACACTTTATTATTTCCAAAACTTCATTCAAATTCTTAAAACCAAGAATCATACCCAAATTTCAAACATGTTATTAATCAATTCTAACACTCCATATTCCTTAATTAACTTATTGACAAGTCAAAAATCTTATTCAAACTTCAAAAACTCATCCATATCAAAATTTCATCTAAAAACCCATTTTTCAAATCTATCTCTAAAACATTTATCTTGTTGTTTTAGAACAAATTAAGCTTTCCTTAAGCTTAATTAACACCCAAAGAATCAAAACCCTCTTTAAAATTCCAGAAATTAACCATAAAAATCAAACTTACCTTTGTAGCCAAAGCCAACGTGAAGAAGAGGAAAACAAGGAGAAGAAGAGAAAATGAACTCTTGAACAAATTTTGCCTTCCTATCATCTTCCACGTGGGTTAATATAAACCCATCCAAATTTTTAATTATTTTTCCTTATAAATGACCATTTTGTCCTTTAATTCATTTCATATTTACTAATAATTATTTTTAAACTATTTAATTATTCTACTTTAATCACCAAATTCTGAATTTTTACAATTTAGTCACTAACCCGTTATTTGGGATATTACAATAACAATGGAGAGTAAGTGGTAAATTTGACATTAAAATCATTTGAAAAATCAAAACTCCCTCTCAATAAATGCATTCTAAACAAAAAAAAAATTGACTCTAAAAGCTTGACACTTAAAAAAATTGAATTTCAACAAAGATAAACAAACATGTTAGTAGTACATGAAATTCAATATATCCAATTCTAAAATACTTTATGCAATACTAATTGTTGTATTTAAGTGCATGTGCATAAAACTATTAAAAATGTTATGCATTTGAAAAATTGATATTAATTGTTAAAGAGATATCATTTGCAATAAATCACATACGTAAACATTTAAATTAATGTCAAAAATTTAAAATTTGTAAAATCAAGGCATTAAAACCAATTTTGACAAAAAATCATTATGATGAACAAAAAAATATGAAAAATCATTAAAACTTTAGAAAATGTTCATCATAATATAATTTCAACATACATGAGATAGAAAACATAAAATTATTTAAAACCAAAACTCATGCAATCATAAAAACTAATGAGAAACCAAATATGCAATATAATCTAAATAAGCTTAGAGGTTACCCATTCCATATCAAGTGTGGTAGAGCATTTGAGTATTTCCACTTTCATCACCATTGCTCTCACACACCTACAAGAGACATTTAATTGGATTTTAGTATCCAAATTGCTTTTGGATCCTTGAACGTTAGTTTCAATGTCTCTAATTCCTTTAGGATTCCACACTTGTTTAATTTTAAAACATTTTCTTTTCTTTAAAGGACAAGTATGTTCCTTATGACCATGAAAATGACAATGTGAGCATTTTTTTTCCAATTTTAAATATGATGAATTGGTTTGAGAAATTAATTCTTTTTCTTTTGCTAAGCTCTCAAGCTTAACTTTCAAATCAAAATTTTCTTTTTCTAAATCATTGATTTTGATTTTTGAAAACTCTAAATCATTTTTCAAAGTTTCATTTTGTTTTTCAAAATCAACTTTTGCTTTCAAAATCAAATCATTTTAAACTTGAAAATTTGAAATTAATTTCTTATATTTGGAATTCATGGTCTCAAATTCCAAATAAAACTCATCATAGGCAACTTGTAACTCATTAAAAGAATAATAATTTGATTCACTAGAGCTAGAAGTTACCATTGAATCTTCTTCGATGGCCATGAGGCATAGGTTGGTTTCTTCATCTACATCATTGGAGTCATCTCCATCACTCCAAGTCGTCACAAATGTATTTTTCTTACTTGATCCCTTTTTTTAGGAGAAGACAATCATTCTTGACATGACCTGTTCTTTGATATTCGAAGCACACCAGGGGACATTTCTTTTTCCTTGAACCATGTTTCATTTCCTTAGAAGTTATGAATCTATTCAATCTTTTGAAGAGCTTGACCATATATTCTTTATCATCATCATCTTCATCCACCTCTTCACTTGCATCTTGATCACTCTCATTGGTGGATTTGAAGGTAATGTCTACCTCCTTTACCATCAACTCATGAGTGAGAAGAGAACCAATAAGATAATTAAGAGTGAGAGATTTTAGGTTATTAGATCGCCGTCTTCTTCGATTGCCAAGACTTTGAAAGAGAATAAATCATATTCCTCACAAGCTTCTTATTAGAGATAACTTCTCCAAATCCCTTGAGACTGTTGACAATCACGAAAAAATCTATCCATCATAGCTTTGATGTCTTCATTCGAGTTCATCTTGAAATTCTCATAACTATGGTTGAGAAGACTGATTTTGGTTTCTTTCACTTCATTGGTTCCTTCATGAGTGACTTGGAACATGTCCCAAATCTCCTTGGCATTAGAACAAAATGAAACTCTTCCATATTCATCTAGGCCTAATGTAAAAAATAGAATGTGCATAACCTTTGCATTGAGTTGGAACTTCTTCTTCTCTCTATCACTTCAATCATCCATCTCATCGGTTGGAATGGAGTATCAGTTAATGATTGAGTTCCAAGCTCCTAGATCGTTGGCTTGAATGAAGAGCGTCATCATATGCTTCCAATAGTCATAATCTACTCCATTGAAATAAGGTGACTTGTTGATCGGTTGAGAGTTTTCAATGTAGTAAGAGCCGGAGGTCGAAGCCATATTCTCTGTTGCGTTAAGAATCAGTAGAGCTTCTTCAAGGATCGTCTCAAGGTTGTTAAACATTCTAACGAGTCAAGCTCTAATACAAATTGTTGAGATATTTAATGAAACTCAAATATCAACTAAATGATTTGCGAAGAGGGGGTAAATTGGCTTTTTGAGTTTAATGAGTAAGGAGTATAAAAGATAGACAATTTGTACAAGGATTTATAGTGGTTCGAATTCTCAACCAAGTCTACATCCACTTCCTAAACTCATCACTTAGGATTTTCTAACAAATTCACTAATTTGTTCTTTCTTTTTCACAGGATAAAGAGATAACATTTACAACTCCCTAGTTTTTCAATGAATAAACTAGAACCACTCCCCTTTACAAAAAGGAATAAATATGTAAACAAAAAGACCTCATAATGTAGGTGTTTACAAAAATTAAGTTCACTAAAACACTAATATTTACAAGAGAAAGGAAAATAGGAGTAAAAAGATTTTCTCTTGTGTTTGACTGCTTGGATAGTTGTTCTAACCCATCTTCAGGTGTCCTCAACTTGTTTTTATATGTTGGAATATGTTTGTGGTCGTTTCTAGCCGTTAGGGATAATTTTTCTGCAAAATAAAATTGCCCAGTACAGGGAGTATCGATACTCCTATAATGAGTATCAGTACTACCTTTGTAATTTTTAAATAAACTAGCCGTTACTAGCCGTTGGGCCTTGACCAATATCGATACTATGATCATGATATATATACTACTGTTTAAAGTAGTAACGGTAACCCATTGATATCAGTACCTATTTTGCATTCTGGAATTTGAGCAATTTGGAAAACAATAGGTAATATCAGTACTACCTAAAGAGTATCAATACTTCTCTTACCTTTGGTATCGATACTACATGAACAATATCAACATTGTTCATATAATATCGATATTGTAAGAACAATATCAGTACTACTGATAGTGAAAAACAATTTTGTGATCAAATTCTAGTTTAATGGACTTTGAATTATTTTTAAAACTCTTGAAAACTTTGAAAAATTCAATCAAATCTAAAAACATTTTGCCTTAATTTTTTTATATCAAAATATTATAACATAGTTCAACACAAACACATTTGGTTGGTTAGTCAAACTACTCATATTTGTTTACTCATATTCTTTTAGGTCATGAGTTAGATTCACCAGGAGCATTACCCTTCTTTCCTCTAGAGTCTCTTCTTCCCCTTCCCTCTAAGTATGATTAAGATTAGATTTAGAATTTATAATTAATAATTTTATTTATTTTATTTAATTTTAAATAGTTTGGTTAAATATTTTTTTATTAAGATGGGTAAGTACAATGCAATATCCGTTCAAATATAACTCTTAACCTTTTGACATTGAATGCTCATACTTCTAACATTCTCGGTGCTCGAACCCGAGTTCTTAAATAATAACATCAATTCCTTTACCACATAGGTTATTTGATTCGTGCAGTTAAGTTAAATCTTTATATTTAAATAGAAGAAATATGTGAATATTGTTATCTCCTCCCATATTGATAGAAGCTGTAATTTAAAAAATATATATAATTATGATTATTTTTTAACAACAAATATATTAAAAATATAAAAAATACTAAAAATACTAAAAATAGAAAATACTAAAAATTTCCTAGTATTTTTTAGATTTTTTGTTTAATATTTAATATTTTTGTTTTACGTGACAGCTTCTTATATAAACATATTATATTTTTATAAAAATATTAACGTGATAACGAAAAGAAAATAATAAAATAATCTAAGAAAAAAATTATGTTTTACAGACAAATGAAAAACATACTTTAGGGGTAATAACGAAGAGAAAATAAAAAATATTAAAAAAATAATCTAAGTAATATGATTTGGTGGTAGAATCTAAATGAAGGCGGTAGAGATAAAGATTCACCATTGATCAGCTTGGGTGTTGGGACGTGGAAGATGATTTTTCTTTTTGTTTTGTCTTTATTCTCATATAATATCAAAATTTTGGAAGAATCTTG